GGCTTCCTAGCTGCCTCAGGTCACTAGAGTAAGCCCCTGTGGTTAGTTTATATTCACTGTGTGCCTGAGGCTCCTGTGAGAAGTTGGAAAAGTCTCTGTGGTTATTTTTGTAGTATATCTGTGAGCTCCCCTGGGCATGTCTGGGATGGGGTTTAAAGATCAGCTTGCATCCTTTTCACCTAGCCCACCCGTCATTGGTCATGCCTAACTTCCTACCTAACATATCCAATCATTTTAAAATTCTTTTCCCCTATAGGTTATTACAGAATAATAAGTAGAGATTTGGGTGCTATGCAGTAGGTACTTGTTGAAGATCTATTTTATATATAGTAGTGTGTATGTATTAATCCCAAACTCTTAATTTATCCCTCTCCTGTCATCTTTCTTGATTGGGAGCATACATTTTTTTTTTAAGTCTGTGAATCTTTTTCTGTTTAGTAAATAGGCTCATCTGTAATCTTTTTTTTTTTTTTTTTTTGGCCAAGCTGTGTGGCATGCAGGATCTTAATTCCCTGACCAGGGATTGAACCCATGTCCCCTACAGTGGGTAGTCAGAGTCCTAACCACTGGACTACCAGGGGATTCCCTGTAATCATCTTTTTAGATTCCACTATCAGTGATATCATACAATATTTGTCTTTCTCTGTCTGATTTACTTCACTTAGTATGATAATCTCTAATCTCTAGGTCCATTGTTATTGCAAATGGCCTTATTTCAGTGTTTGTTATGGATGAATAATACTCCACTGTATATCTATGTACCATCCCTTCTTTATCCATTTATCTATTGGTGGACATCTAGGTTGCCTCCATGTGTTAGCTATTGTAAATGGTGCTGCAGTGAACATTGACATGCCTGTATCTTTTAAAAAATTTTTAATGTATTTACTTTTGGCTGCACTGGGTCTTTGTTGCTGTGTGCAGGCTTCTTCTCTAGTTGTGGCGAGCAGGGGCTACTATCTAGTTGCAGTGCATGGGCTTCTCATTGTGGTGACTTCTCTTGTTGTGGAGCATATTGATAGCTTACGGTGAACGATGTCCGATTTGTGATCTCCGAAGAAGATTTAACTTCAGGACCAGGGACCAGGCTTGATCACTCAAGAACTTTTGTGTAGCAGAGTTTTAATAAAGTATAAAAGGGGACAGGGAAAACGTCTGACATAGACATCAGAAAGGGGACAGAGTGCCCTGTTTCGCTTAGTCTTTGCAAGGGAGCTTTATACCTTGTTACAATAAAGGGTTTTACCAGACCCACTCCCACAGTATAAGATAACAGGATTAGAACTAACAATAGAAAGACCCACTCCCCCAACATGCATCTTAACAAGATTAGTCAGAAGGTTCTTGTTAAGGAGAAATATGTCCTTAAGCAAGATAACATTGTTATGTTGACTAATACAAAGCAATGTAGAAAAAAAGTCCTTTTCTCCTCCTTGAACCTCAGACCCCTTTCTCCTTCTCAAGGGTCCTGGACCTTTTCCTCCTCAAGGGCCCCAGACTACTTATCAAGTACCTAAAGATGAGCTTTGGGATTCGAATGAAATCTGACCTTTTCCAGTCCTGTGGCCACTGCTGAGTTTTCATTCCAATCCCAAAGAAAGGCAGTGCCAAAGAATGTTCAAACTACCATACAACTGCACTCATCTCACACGCTAGTAATGCTCAAAATTCTCCAAGCTAGGCTTCAACAGTACATGAATGGTGAACTTCCAGATGTTCAAGCTGGAATTAGAAAAGGTGGAAGAACCAGAGATCAAATTACCAACATCTGTTGGATCATCAAAGAAGCAAGAGAGTTCCAGAAAAACATCTATTTCTGCTTTATTGACTATGCCAAAGTCTTTGACTGTGTGGATCACAACAAACTGTGGAAAGTTCTTCAAGAGATGGGAATATCAGACCACCTGACCTGCCTCCTGAATAATCTGTATATAGAACTGGACATGAAACAACAGACTGGTTCCAAATTGGGAAAGGAGTATGTCAGGGCTGTATATTGTCACCCTACTTATTTAACTTATATGCAGAGTACATTGTGTGAAATGCTGGGCTGGATGAAGCACATGCTGGAAGCAAGATTGCTTGGAGAAATATCAATAACCTCAGCCATGCAGATGACACCACCCTTAGGGCAGAAAGTGAAGAAGAACTAAAGAGCCTCTTGATGAAAGTGAAAGAGGAGAGAGAAAAAGTTGGCTTAAAATTCACCATTCAGAAAACTAAGATCATGGCATCTGGTCCCATAACTTCATGGCAAATGGATGGCTAAACAATGGAAACAATGAGAGACTTTATTTTGGTGGGCTCCAAAATCACTGCAGATGGTGTCTGCAGCCATGAAATTACAAGACTCTTGCTCCTTGAAAGGAAAGCTATGACCAACCTAGACAGCGTGTTAAAAAGCAGAGACATTGCTTTGCCGAGAAAGGTCTGTCTAGTCAAAGCTATGGTTTTCCAGTAGTCGTGTATGGGTGTGCGAGTTGAACTATAAAGCTGAGCACTGAAGAATTGATTCTTTTGAACCGTGGTGTTGGAGAAGACTCTTGAGAGTCCCTCGGACTGCAAGGAGATCAAACCAGTCAATTGTAAAGGAAATCAGTCCTGAATATTCTTTGGAAGAACTGATGCTGAAGCTGAAACTCCAATACTTTGACCACCTGATGTGAAGAACTGACTGACTCATTTGAAAAGACCCTGATGCTGGGAAAGATTGAAGGCGTAAGGAGAAGGGGATGACAGAGGATGAGATGGTTGGATGACATCACTGATTCAATGGCCATGAGTTTGAATAAGCTCTGGGAGCTGACGATGGACTGTGAAGCTTGGTGTGCCTAAGTCCGTGGGGTCACAGAGAGTCGGACATGACTGAATGACTGAACTGAAGGATGAGCTCTCTCAATAGGGTGCATGAGCTTCAGTAGTCGCTGCATACAGGCTCAGTCATTGTGGCACACGGCCTTAGTTACCTCTTGGCATGTAGAATCTTCCCAGAGAAGGGACTGAACCCATGTCCCCTGCAGCAGTGGGTGAATTCTTAACCGCTGAACCACCAGGGAAGTCTGTGCATGTATCTTTTTGAATTACAATTTTCTCTGGATATATGTCCAGGAGTGGAATGCTGGATTATTTGCTAGTTCTATTTTTAGTTTTTTAAGGAACCTCCATACTGTTTTCTGTGGTGGCTGTACCAATTTATATTCTCACCAACAGTGTAGGAGGGTCCCCTTTTCTCCACAACCACATCAGCATTCATTGATTGTGGACTTTTGGATGATGGTCTTTCTTAACTCGTGTGAAGTGGTATCTCATTTAGTTTTGATTTGCATTTCTCAAAAAATTATTGTACAACAAATGAGGCAAGAATATACAGTGGAGAAATGACAGTCTCTTCAATAAGTGGTGCTGGGAAGACTTGAACAGCTCCATGGAAAAGAATGAAATTAGAACATTCTCTAACACAAGTGGGACCTAATTAAATTTAAAAGTTGTGTACAGCAAAAGAAGCCATAAACAAAACCAAAGACAACCCACTACATGGGAGAAAATATTTACATATGAAGCAATCAACATGGGATTAATCTACAAATTACATAAAGTGCTCTTGTAGCTCAATATCAAAGAAATAACCCGTGCAAATGGGGAAAGATCTAAATAGAGATTTCTCCAAAGAAGACAGAGAGATGGCTAAAAGGCACATAATAAGATGGTCGACATTGCTAATTATTAGAGAAATGCAAATCACAACTACAGTGAGGTATTATCTCATAACAGTCAGAATGGCCATCATCAAAAACAACAAATGCTATAGAAGTTATGGAGAAAAGGGAGCCCTTCTACACTGTTGGTGGGAATGTAAGTGCTCCATAAATATCAGTTCAGTCCATTTGATCTAATGTGTCATTTAAGGCCTCTTTTTCCTTATTGATTCTCTGTCTGGATGACCTGTCCATTGCTGTAATTGAGGCGTTAAAGTTCCCAATGATTATTGTGTTACTGTCAACTTTTCCTTTTATGACTGTTAGCATTTTTGGCTTATTTGTTAAAGTTTTCCTATGTTGGTTGCATTTATATTTACAATTATTGTATCTTCTTCTTGGATTGATCCCCTGATCATTATGTAGTGTCTGTCTTTGTCTCTTGTAACAGTCTTTATTTTAAAGTCATTTTCTCTGACTTAAATATAATACATGATACCATAATACTCCTGCAAGAGAGCATGGGCAAAATGTTCTCTGACATAAATCATACCAATGTTTTCTTAGGTCAGTCTCCTAAGGCAATAGAAATAAAACCAAAAATAAACAGATGAGATGTAAACATAATTGCCATATCACCCACCAAGTCTACTTTTAGTTGTATGCCCAGGAGAATTGGGCATACACATCACACACAAAAACCTGTATTTGAATAATCACAGCATCATTAATCATAAAACCACAAAATAGAAACAGCATAAATGTCCATCCAGTAAATTAATGGATAAACAAAATGTAATATACTCATACAATGAAATATTACTCAGCCATAGAAAGGAATGAAATACAGACATGTGGTACGACATGAATGAACCTTCAGAACATTACATTTAAATGAAGGAAGCCAGACACATGAAAGTCATATATTGTATGACTCCATTTGTGTGCAATGACCTGAATGGGCAAATCCATTAGAGAGTAAATTGGTGATCACCTGGCGGTGGGTGAAGAGGGAATTGGAAGGTATAGGGTTTCTTTTTTCGGGCGTGATGGAAATGTTCTGTATTTAGGTAGTGGTGATGGTTGCCCAACATTGTCAAGATGCTAACCAATCCAGCTGCACACATTAAAATGATTAAAGTGGTTATTTTTATATTATGTGAATTTTCTCAATAAACCTTTTAAAAATAAAGATTGGGTACTACACTAAGGAGCATATTTCAAATCTACATTTCCAATGTAAACCTTATTTTAAATCATATCTAGGGATTTCTATGTCTAAATGTATAATCATCTTTATTTCAGGATGCTAGGAAAGCATGTAATGATGCAACACTTGTTCAGGTAAAGTTTTCTTCCTCAAGTTTCTTTTACTAATTTGCATGAAATAGCTTGACAACGATGCAAATGACATTCTATTTATTAGTATTTAATTGAAAGCAAAATGAGATCTCTATTAAAAAGGCTTTGTAATTTGTCAGATGCTGTTTAAGAGCCTTTTAAAACATACTTGTGAAAATGAAAGTCCGTGAAAAAGTAAATACTATAAAAATATGTAGATTATATGTTTCTTTTTAGGTAGCTTCTGCTTCTTTTTGATATGCCCTGATTAAGTTTTTTCTTTATGTAAACTATTAGGAAAGTTTCATTAATTAAAATTGCTCATTTTTATTAAGGATATTTTATGTGCTATCTAAATAAAAAATTGGCTTTCTTTAAATAATTAAAATTATCAATATTTTACTATTTGATCATCTATTAACTTTTTATTTGTGGCTGTTTTTTTACTAAGGTTGGAAGGTATGTCTATTTTTTTACTTATTAGTCTATAGAAAATGTTCTTATTGGAAGGTGTGCAAATAAATCATACTTTTTCTTGAGCATCATAGGAATTATTTATATTAAAATATCTTCAGTAACTGTCCATTTATTTTATGTCTACTTTATTGCCAATTAATTGTTTCTGCTTTATTTTTTGAGCTGTGTCTAAGCTAAAAAATAACATTCTCATCACTTCCTAAAGATCACGTCAAATATGGATTCCGTGGGTCGAATACAAATGCGAACGAGACGTACGCTGAGGGGTCACCTAGCTAAAATCTATGCTATGCACTGGGGATACGATTCAAGGTTTGTACCTGCCATTTTCAAACTGCCTGCATAATTGTTTTGTTGACTCATCACTTGCATTTTCCATTAGAAACAACCTATTTCTATGAAGTGTTTGAAAAAAATGCATCTAATATGACTGCTTTGCTTTTAATAAAAATATTCATTGACACTTTAAAAGTTTAGAAACCTTTAATATGGAAAAGAAATTTACCTCTCAGAAATACCCTTTATCAAATGATTTAGGAAAAGTGTTTAGGATTTCTTTTCTTTGCAGTGAGGTATTATACTTTGTTTTTTAACATGTCAGGGTAGCTTTATTGCATAATAAACATTGAAATTTCAGATAATAAGGAAATATTTGTTGAATATTGCTGTGTACAAGTTACCAGATATTGCTATAATTTATTCATTACTACCTAAATTCATGAAGAATGGAATTACAAAAAGACATTTTCACTGAATACTTCTTTTATTCCCCAGCCACACCCTACAAGTGTGTGTGTAGTGAGTGTATGCACATACACACACAGCCGCCGTCTGGATTGCAGTTGAATGGTTGGTCATGACTTGTTCACAGGGTTACAGTATGGTCTGTGCTTTTTCCGGAGAATCTGACAATACTGCACAGTGTCTGACCCTGCTTCTGTAATGGTTGACTTGTTCCTTTGACTTGGTCCCTCTAATTGGGAAAATTTCTTAACTAAGAAATTATTTGGGGGGACTTTCCTGGTGGTCCAGTGGCTAAGACTCTGCACTCCCAATGCAGAGGGCCCAGGTTCGCTCCCTGATTAGGGAAGTAGATCCCACATGCTGCAACCAAGAGTTTGCATGCCACAACTAAAGAGCTTGCGTGCCGCAGCAAAGATCAAAGATGCCCTGTGCCACAGCTAAGACCTGGCGTGGCCAAATAAGTCGAAATTTTAAAAATTAATTTTAAAAAATTCCTTTATTTATTATGATCACTGGCTGTGCTGGCCTTTGTTGCTGCATGGGCTTTTCTCCACTTGTGGTGAGCGGGGGCTTGTCTTCATTGCAGTGTGTGGGCTCCTCCTTGAGGGGGCTTCTCCTTGCAGAGCACAGGCGCTGGGGCATGGAGGCTTCAGTAGTTGCAGCTCTCAGGCTCTGGAGCACAAGCTCGGTAGTTGTGCACGGGCATAGTTGCTCTGTGGCCTGTGGAATGTTCCCCGATCAGGGATTGAACCCATGTCTCCTGCACTGACAGGTGGATTCTTTACCACTGAGCCACCGGGGAAGCCCAACCAATTAATTTCTAATAGATGTTGCACATTTTTTTCTCTTCTTCCAGGAGAATCCAAAAATGTTGCTACCTGTTGCCAATGGTTCCCACATCTCAGTGTAAATAGGATTCTTGGATACAGTAAAATAGAACTTGGGCCTCTTCGGAGGGGATAAATGAAAGTATATAACTGACAACCAACGTAAAGCTAGGCCAAATGTTTTTTTTTCTAGGCCAAATTTTTTCTTAAATTTAACATAAGCAGTAATCTGACCATTGAGATAGCAAATACATAACTCAAAATACAATCACTTGAAAATGTTAATGGTTCTTACTTAAAATTTCCTCAAGACTATTAATCTTCACAGAACACGAAGTGTCAGCAAAGCGCCTGTCTCACCTGTCTTTCTGCTCATTCTGATTATCAACCTGTTACTTAACTTTTTCTCAACTCAGTGCTGATGATACCAGCTGTTTTTAAAAAAGCTTCAGTTCCATCCCATACCCTGTGGTTGTATCTGCCCTTTCATGAAACTTACAGTGCTTTCTACATAAGAACCTGATAACGGTATTTACCTGTAGTGAAGGGAAATGGGTGGCTGAGTGATAGGAACACAGAGGTGATTCTTTTCACTGTATATCTGTCCTTTTGTATCTTTTGAATTTTATACCGTAGTGAAAAATAAAATTCCAAAAGAAAACAAGAAATTCAGTGGCCTGTAACTTTAGTCAAGAGTTCTTAGTTAGCCTGGCAGACAGAGCCTTCTGCTGTTTCAGCCCAGTCTGTTTTCCCAACTGTTTTTTCCATTTCTTATGAAGTCTGTGTAACTGGGAAATTCACAGATCTTGAAACACCCATTGTATTTTTCCTCCTCTTGCCATGGAACTTGCCCTCTTTATAGAATACAGATTTCTCCAGCTTTCAAAATTCCGTTTTTTCAAGATGTGTTTTCTTTCACCAGACTTCTTGAGTAACTTAGTTATGTGTCCCTCATTTGTTTTCCTATGGCCTTTATTTTATACTACTCCTCTGACTATTTTCACTTACCTCATTTATTTTAGTAAACATCCTATCTCCACCAGATGCTAGAGGCCCCAAGGGTAGGAGGTATCGCCTATGTTGTGCCGTTAACACAGCGTTTCTGTCACAGGCTCTCAATTGATATTTTTAGATTGAATGAAACGTGGTTGTTAGACTTACATGTACTCCTTTGTCATTATATTTAAGTCCGTACGTACTAAACCAGTCAACTAAGACCTACCAAAATCGTGACTAATACCTAGAATGTTGTCACCGTGAAAAAGCTGAATCATGACTAGAGACATTTTTAGTAAAATCTCTAAAAAATTTTAATGTTGACAATTTTTGGCATGCAGAATATATATTTTTTAAGTTGAGAATGTTTCCTGGTATCAAGTTTTTTATTAGAAAAATTATATTTGTCTTTTCTGAACTGTTCTACATTAATGCAATGCATAATTAATTTAAACTACTTTTTTCCTCTAAGTGTCACATTATTTTTGTGTTTGCTCCTCTAGGCTACTAGTCAGTGCTTCCCAAGATGGAAAATTAATTATTTGGGATAGCTATACAACAAATAAGGTAGAATTTTTTTAATCATCCTCTTATATAACCTTTTATTTGGTTTGATAAACCAGTTCTTTCCTTTATTCTATTACTTCAAGCTTATAATTTCTTCCTGGGATAAATTTATTCCATTAATTTTTACTTAGGTCCTCTCTTTAGGCCTAGTATTTGCTTTTAATATTTAGCCCTTTTTTTATCCCCAAAGACAACTCTAGGAATACAGTTCAATGTGTCTTGAATCCCCTATTTCATACTCAAATATTAAAAGATAGCGTGCATCAGTTTTATATATAAATGATTTTTGTGAAGTTCCCATTTCCTAATGTGACAGTGACCTTATAGTTTTTATTTTTAGTTGTGGATAAGCTGGAATGCTAGGCATTGATTTGTGTTTCTGGGCTGTTCAGAAGATTCAATAGGTTGGAGGCAGATTACAACTTGTTTAGATCCCTTGGTGGTAAATACTAGTGAGTTCTTCTAATATGTATCCTGGAAAGAATTCCTGATGTAAGGGTGTTGAGTGGTAGTGGAAAAGCTCCAAGAAGATGCTCACAAGTAAAATGTTTTCCGCTTATACCACTGTTTCCATTAAAGATATAGAAGTACTATTTTGTGAAGCAAACAGTAATTTCAGCCTGGTTGAGAATTAAAAAGCTAGCTAGGATAGATTTATAATATAATAGTTTTCTTAGTTTTTTGGTGTCAGTCAATGACTTTCAGCTATATTTTTCTAAAATGAAAAATACTCTTTTGGGTTAAGTAAGAGCATAGTAATCACATAATATGTTGATTCTGTGTCTGGGCCATTTAGCCTTGATGTGTTCCCATTCACATTAAACTGTGCTACCTGATTTGCAGATGCTTGGTGTTGGGTAATAAGACATCAGACAATGGTGTGAATAGATCAGTGCAAACTATTACCCTTGTTCAAGCCCAGAATACGAGTTATTAGAAAAACATAGCTCTTCATGGAAGGACCATTCTATTCAACTCCAGTTCTTGTATTGTTCAGTGTTCTGTTGTAGGAAATTCCTCTTTTGAACACTACTGCAAAAAGCCAAGAATTATATTAAGGTTTTTTTTTTTTAACATTTTATACTTAATATTTCAAACAGCTCTATTAGTGTTGAAACATTCTGTGTCTTTGTTCTTCCTAAAAGAATACTTTCTGAAAAGAAGAAGTAAATCCAAATGATTTGCAATATGCAGAAAATATAACGGGCATTTTAGTGTGCGTTGTGGTTTTCTTTATTCAGTTTCTCCGTTCATTGTATTCTTTATTTTACTTGGCTTATTTTTAAGATATGTTTACGTTTTAGTAATGTCTGCTTCACTGTAAATAGGTTGAAAAATCAATGACTTTCGTAAGCTTAGTTTTTGTATTGTGTTTGTTCTGCAGATGCATGCTATCCCTCTGCGGTCTTCCTGGGTGATGACTTGCGCCTATGCTCCCTCTGGTAATTACGTTGCTTGTGGAGGGCTGGACAACATCTGCTCTATATATAACTTAAAAACCAGAGAGGGAAATGTGAGAGTGAGCCGAGAGTTACCGGGTCACACAGGTGAGCTTCGCTGCATGCTGGCCTGTCCTCCCCAATTTGACTTCTCTGAAGATCAAGGAGAAAGGGGGACAAAGGGGCTCAACTGACCAAAGGATTCATGTTTAAGTGAGAATGGAAAATTACTGTGAATCTGAGAAGCATTGACTTTTTATTTATACAAATGATGACTCTACTTCTGTTTTTCTTTTAAAAATAGTATTGTTTTATAGAAATTACTTACTGCAAAAATTCAAACAATAATGAATACAGAAAGAAAGTGAATACGATTTTCTGTATTCTCTGCAAACCTATAACAATTATAGTATTTGGATGCTTCATTAGGTAATTGAAAGTTTGTATCAAGCTACATTTATGAAATATTTTTCCACTGTGTAATAATGCATTGCTTTATTAGTGTACACGCCGTAGTTCATCAGTATAGTATTTGGTTAGCAGTGTTCATAGGAATTTGTTTCCACTTACCAGGTTTAAGCCTCTCTGAATTCTTGGAAGTACTGTTTGGCTATGCTTTTTATAAAATCTCTATAATGGTATTTCTCCTGCTATTTCCATATTTTGAACAACTGGTGAATTCTGAGCATTCGAATCCACCTTTTTTTTTTTCTAATCCACCTTTTTAATGAAGCTTTCACTGAGGTTTTTAAAGTATTTCTCCAAGGTACTTAACCCAATCTGCTATAGATAATAGATAATATTTGTATTAAGGAGTATCCTTCTCCTAGGTAATTGTAGTAGGTGGAAGGGACTGTGTCTTTTACTCAAGTTTGTAACTTTCAGAGCCATTGACATAGTAAATACCTAAGAGAGGGTTTGTTGGTAAAATAAAGTTGCAAGCAGCATAGAATTGGAAGTTATTAAAAGTAGAACTAAAAAAAAAAAGTAGAACTATAGATTTTACTAACAAACACTTGTTGCCCAGGTATTATATTTTTAAAATACATATTACTCTTTTGTATGGTAATTGAATTAATCAGTGATAACCTAACATTTGTTATCTCTGTGCTGTAGGCTACTTGTCCTGCTGTCGGTTTTTAGATGATAGCCAAATAGTTACAAGTTCAGGAGACACAACTTGGTAAGTGTATTCCAGAAGATTACTACTTTGAGGTTGAGCGTGGTGGTAGGAACTAAAGTAAGAGGGGAGAACAGTCATTAATTATTTCTGTCTATTTTTTACCGTAGTGCTTTATGGGACATTGAAACCGCCCAGCAGACCACCGCCTTCACTGGGCATTCTGGGGATGTGATGAGTCTTTCTCTGAGTCCTGACATGAGGACTTTCGTTTCTGGTGCTTGTGATGCCTCTTCAAAATTATGGGATATTCGAGATGGAATGTGCAGACAGTCCTTCACTGGGCATGTGTCGGATATTAATGCCGTCAGTGTAAGTGAGCGGCATTTCTAAGGAAAGTTTATTGTGCATATAAAGTGTTGAACTCCATAGTATGATTTTAACAACAAATTCCCTTTAAGGATTCCATAAATAAAGTGCTCTTAACAACATTTAATCCCAAAATAATAAAAGTTTGATTTTTTTTTTAATGGAAAGGTTTTAATAGGCCTAAGTCTTCATTTGCAGGGGAACAGGAATAAGTTTAATTTCTAGATTTACAGGGCAAGATAATCTTGAACAAAAAAAGTGGATCCAGAGTATCAGCTGTGTTCAGAGGAGAACAGTGTCCCGTTTCCCCACAGTCAGGGGAACAACCCCAAGAGAGAGCAGTCAGAAAGACAGAGGTGACTGTTTACTGTAGAGAGCATAGCTTTTGAAATCCGCCAAACCCTGGATTGAATTTTAGTAATCTGGGAATCAGCTGTGTGAGATCAGGTGGGCTACTTAACCTCTGTGAGCCACACATTCCTTGGTAGGAATAATGCTACCGTGGTGTGGAAACTAAATGAAACGAGATGGATGCTCAGTAAATAGTATAAATTATTTATAAGCTCCTTCATATTAAGGAAAAAACAATTCAGACATGTAGCCACAAATAGATTAAGCCAGATAATAGCTCCGTATATACGAAAGTGAACTAGACATACGTGTATAAATTAAAGCCAAAAGACATTTTGAATGACAATCAAAATGGTTTATCCATCAGGATTGACGGGAGGGGCATTAGAAAGTGGTATATTCCTTGACTTAGGTAAATTAGACTATGCAGATCAGATTTCAGAATGTATACAGATGACTGGATTTTCCAAAAGTACTGTAGTTGCTACTATGTATATGTATAAGATGTACTCTGATCTTCTTTTGCAAGATGATATTTTTGGGATAAATTTTATTTATCATGTATATATCAACAGTCACTTTTATATCACCTTTTAGAGAATATCAGAGAAAGTAAAGGCTCTGTGACCTCCACTGCTATTAGGCCAACCTGGCTTGCAGAGTAGAATTTTAGAGCAGGCACATACAATCCTGTCCATCTCACATCCCCACCACCTTTATCAACTTGATGATCTCTTCTGTTTCTAGTTTGCTGCACATTTATCAAGAATGAGTGTTGAAGTTTATCAAATGCCCCTTTTTCATCTATTGAGATGATCATGTGGTTTTTTCTTTTTCAGTCTGCTAAATGGTAAATTTACATGAGTTGAATTTCAAATATTAACCTAACCCTACATTTAGCCTCACTTGCCTATAATGCCTAATCATTTTTTATTTACTGGTGGATTTTGATTTGTTGTAATTTTAAGATTTACATCCGTATTGATGTTATGATATGATTTTTCATTTCTTGAGAAATTTTGTTCCCACTTTGGTATTAGCTTAATGCTAGACTCATAGGAGGAGCTGGGAATCTAACACTTTGTGTGGAATTGATAAGATTTCATCCTTAATTGTTTGGTTGACTTTTCTGTCTGGCCAAGGAAGTTTTCTTGTGTGAGAAGAAATTTAACTAAAAATTTAATGTCCTAATTAGATTTAGGCCNTTTCTATGTAATGCTTTCAGAGCATGTAGAAACTATAGCAGTATTCTTTCTTTAATTTGATATTAATATTTTTTGTCATTCTTAATCACTTGTTGGAAGTTTATCAGTTTTATTGATCTTTCAAAAAAATACTCGTTTCTTATTTTATTGATGTTTTCCCCTGTAGTTTTCCTGTTTCCTATCTTATTACCTTCCATTTTAATGTTTATTATTTCTTTTCTTCTGCTTACATGGGTTTTGTTTGCTCTCCTGTTTCTCATTTCCTTTTTTTTTTTCTCACTTCTTAAGGCAGAAGCTGGTATCATTGGTTTGAAACCTTTTCTCTTTTCTAATATTGGAACTTAAAGTTATAAGTTTCTTTCTAAGCATTGCTTTTTGCTACATTCCACAAATTTTGATTCATTTTCGTTTAGTGAAAATTTTCCTTTTCATCTCTTTGATCCATGAAGTTATTTAGAAGTAGCTTCTATAGTTTTAAATATTTGTAGATTTTTAAGATATCTTTATTTTTGCATTTCCCTGATGATTAGTGATGTCGAGCATCTTTTCGTGTGTCCCTTTGCTGTTTGTATGTCTTCTTTGGAAAAATGGCTTTTTAGTCCTACCCTGCCTGTATTTTAAGCAGATTATTTGGCTTTTTGATACTGAGTTTTGCAGATTGTCCGCATGTTATGAGTATTAACCTTGTTCTGGATATACTGTTTGTAAGCATCCTCTCTCACCTAGAAGGCTGCCTTTTCCTTTTCTCAATAGTTTCCTTCATGTGCAAAAGCTTTTTCTAGTTTGATTTAGTTGCATCTGTTTATTTTTGCTTTTGCTTTCCTTGCCTGAGGGGGCAGATCCAAAAAGAAATATTGCTAAGACCTGTGTCAAAGAGCATACTGCCTGGGAATTCCCTGGCAGTCCAGTGGTTAGGACTCCGTGCTTTCACTGCCAAGGGCCTGAGTTTGATCCCTGGTCTGGGAACTAAAATCCCACAAGCCACACAGTGCAGAAAAAAAGAACAAAAACATACTTCCTATGTTATCTTCTAGGAGATTTATGGTTTCAAATTTATACATCTAAGTATTTAATCCATTTGATTTTATTTTTATATATGGTATGAGAAAGTCATCCAGTTTGATGCCTTTGCATGGAGCTGGCCAGTTTTCCCAACACCATTTATGTCTTTTCCTCATTGTATATTCTTGCCTCCTTTGTTGTTGACTATGTTTTTATGGGTTTATTTCTGGGCTGTTCTGTCCCATTGATCTGTGTATCTCTTTTAGTGTCAGTAACATACTCTTTTGATTACTGTAGCTTTGTAGTATAGTTTCAAATCAGGGCCTGTGATACCTCCAAAAAATTGCTTTATATTTTTAAAAAAGTAAACAATATTAGAAGGAAAATGATAAGCTGTATTTGCCACAAAGTAAACAAACTTATTCTTCATTTTATTCCTGCAGATCAACAGGTCCTAAAAAAGCAATACATATGACCAGTAGATATGTGAAGAAAATTGATTTCTTCTTTGTAAAAAGTGTTGAGTAGTGCCACAATATCTGAGAAATGAGATTCACAAACTAATAATGCATAGTTTTTTTTTCTGTGTGTGTTTGCATGCACGCGCATGAGATCATTTAGTCTACTGCTAGCTTCACTTTATAACCTAGCCTAACTGGATGATTTATGTTCTCTTTTATAAAGTGTTTCTATTTATTTCTCATAATGAGGTTTTTGGAACATGTCTTTGAGTCCACATACATATTTAAATACTGTAAATGGTAATATTTGATTTAAATGTTCTAGTAAAACATATGGAGGATTAGGGGCTTCCCTGGTGACTCCAGGGTAAAGTTTCCACCTACAAAGCAGGAGATGTGGGTTTTATCCCTGGGTTGGGAAGATCTGGAGAAGGAAGGATTTGCCTGGGAAATTCCATGGACAGAGGAGCCTGGCAGGCTACAGTCCAAGGGGTTGCAAAAAAGTCATACACGACTTAGTGACTAAACAAGAGCAGAGGACCAGAGCCAGGATTTATTGAATATCTGTCTTGTGCTGAACAATGTGTTATGGGCCCTTTGCATGTGTTATTTCACTTTGCCCTTACCAACCTGCTAAAGCTGAAACTAAGGTGGCACTAGTGGTAGAGAACCTGCCTGCCAATGCAGGAGACATAAGAGATGCAGGTTTGATCCCTGGGTCAGAAAGATCCCCCGGAGGAGGCCATGGCAACCCGCTCCAGTATTCTTGTTTGGAGAATCCCATGGACCGAGAAGCCTGGCGGACTGCAGTCCATAGGGTTGCAAAGAGTCAGACGTGACTGAAACGACTTGGCACGCAACATGCACAAGGCCCAAGTGTTCAGGGATCTTCAGTGCCTAAACTCACTCACCTGATCCAAAGCCAAGTTGAAATTTGAATCTCGGTCTTTCTTACCCACTCCTGAGAGTCCTTTGGACTACAAGGAGATCTATCCAGTCTGTCCTAAAGGAAATCAGTCCTGAATATTCATTGGAAGGAGATACTGAAGCTGAAATTCCAATATTTTGGCCACCTGATGCGAAGAACTTACTCATTGGAAAAGACCGTGATGCTGGGAAAGATTGAAGGCAGGAGGAAAAGGGGATGACAGAGGATGAGATGGTTGGATGGCATCACCGACTCAATGGACAGGAGTTTGAGCAAGCTCTGGGAGTTGGTGATGGACAGGGAAACCTGGCATGCTGCAGTCCCTGGGGGTCATAAAGAATCGGACACTACTGAGCTACTGAACTGAACTGTTTTACCCCAGCGTCCATCATTACACTGCCTTACATAATTTTTTTTTACTTCTATGGAATAAGTGTTTGTTGCTTTTCTTTATAGTTTTTCCCAAATGGATATGCCTTTGCCACTGGCTCTGATGATGCCACTTGCCGTCTCTTTGACCTTCGTGCAGACCAAGAGTTATTATTGTATTCTCATGACAATATCATCTGTGGGATCACTTCCGTAGCCTTCTCAAAAAGTGGGCGTCTCCTGTTAGCTGGCTATGATGACTTCAATTGTAACGTATGGGACACACTCAAAGGAGATCGTGCAGGTCAGTAAATTGGTACACGTTAGTTTTTGATTTTGCCAGGAAACATGAAGTCTCCTGTCAGTTGTTTTTGAGGTCTCCTGGACACCCTGGGGAATGGCAACCTGGCAGTTTTCATTCATGTTTGTTGTTAACCTTTGAGTTCAGTTATAGTTCATAAACTGCATTTATGTTTCTATTTTCTAAAGAGTAATATCTGATTCTATATTTTCATGTTTGGTAAGTTTCGACATAAAGATGAATAGTGAATATAGTTTACTGTGATCTTCAGATTACAGTTTGCTTATAATCTGACAGGAAACATTGTAACTGCTTTGCATCCTCTTTTTGGTTCAGATCTTGTCCAGGAAAGGGCATAGAATTACCATCTCCTGTTAATCTCATACTCTTTTGAGTTCTCCCCTGCAGCTTCTGAAATTCTAGCATCAAGTTGTATTGGGGACTCTCATTAATAACAAATTACAGAGTGACTTAAATGTTTTTAGAATCAAACTTATATGCAAAGAATCAGCTAGGTCCACATCGGTTATTACTGAAACACAGCAGTCTTCTGACCTCAGCCCATATTTTCTGCTCCGAAAGGTAGCTACTTTTAAGTATTTATTTCCATATCTTTAAATAACATACCTGTATTGGGTTTTTTTTTTTTCTCTTAACTTTCAGGCATTCTCTCTTGAGGTTTGGCTTTAACATCCTTCCTCCTACCACAGCTTCCATCTTCCAATTTTTCCCATGTAGTGAATTCTATTTATTGATTACACACTTATGAATTTTTAAAACTGTACTCACTGCTGAGCAGTGACATACATACATATATATACATATATATATATATATATGTATGACTTCTTTTGTGATGCAGCTTCTTAATATTCTCTAGGGTCAGATTATTGGGCCTCTTAATTTTTGGCTCACATTCTTACTTTTGATGTGCTTCTCATTACTCTTCAAACTTTCTGCAAGTTTTGCTATGTCTGGGGGTAGATTCATTTCTGTCTATCATTCTGAGTATTCAGTGGACCTTTTAGATCTTAAAACGTATACCTTCTAGCACTGGGAAGTTTTAGGGGGCTCATTTCATCAGTTGCACATTTTTTCTCCATCATCATTCTCTTTGTAGGACTCCCATTATTCTGATGTTGGACTTCTTGGACTTTCCTTTGACTTAGTTTCTCTCCTATTTTCCATCTGTCTTTTTTTTCCTGTATGTTCTGGGAGAAATCCTTGCCTTTTCTTTCCATGAACTGTCTGTTAAGCTTTGGTTTTCCATTTTTGCTACCATCTTTTTGAGATTTTTTTTTTAAGGGCATTCTTTTTTCCATGAATAAAAGTCTTTTGTTTCTGTAGGGTCATTAACAAAAGCCTTTCTTGAAGTTTTCTTTAAGCATAATCTTTTGGTTTCCAAGTTGCCTTTTCTCCCCCTTATTTTTTTCAGTCCCCTGTATTAATCTATTTCCTTGAAACTCATGATTTTTAGCCTCTTATTTATCCTTAAGAGTAAGGCATTAAAACTGTCTGAAAGCCTTCTGTATGCCTAGGGTGTACTGACAGTAGGCCTCACTGAACAATGATCTGGCCAGGCTTCCATTGGGGAATTTCTGACATGTCTTATATCCTTTTCCCTCTTGGGCCTGCTGTGTTCTCTGAGGTGGATTTTTCCACTTTTCTACCTGGGATTTTTTAAGTTGACTGACAGCTTCGGGGCTGATTTCAGGAAGAAAGCTGGGGTGCAAAACAATTAGGAAGTAAACTTTGCTTATTCCCCAGCTTTCAGTAGCTGCACCGACCTCAGCTGTGCCTGTTTTCTTCCAGTTGAGACCCTCTTGTTCTGTCTCTCTAGCACGTCTCTGGTCTTGTGTTCTGGGCAGGATGATAAGTCATCTACGGAGTAAAGGTAGAGACCTGGAGAGTCTAATCGACGCCCAGATGTTTTCTAATGCAGTCTTAGTTTACCCCATCTTGGCCTGTGTGTGGTTCCAGAGATACCTGGTTCCATTAGTTTCTGACTTCTTTGGAGCTTCTGCAGTCATTTTTGTTGTTGTTGGCTTATCAGACCATTTGCTTGGAACTCAGCATTTTGGGGCCCATTAATAATCAGCATACAGCTCACAAACTTGTTGCCGTTGCTGTCATATCCTTGCTGTCCTTGTGTTCTTACCGTTTTAAATTCCTATACAGTTTTGAGGTTTCTGAAGTAGAGGCAGTGTCAGCATCACCAGGGACAATTTTCTACAACCTCTCTTAAGAGACGGCAGCAGAGTTCATGGTTTAGCTGATTCCTTTTTTGAGGTATTAGGTGTTTTGCCTGGATTGAATCAGTATCCATAACAAAATAGAAATGTGTTTTTCATATTTTTTAACATCTGCTTGAGATTTAGTTTTGCTTTGCTGATAGCTGTTTGGTTTCAGGTTGACTCAACTGGCTACTTTCACCTTAAAATTGAATTGTGACATGAATTGCTAATTCATTCTTCTTTCCAATATGATTTGGAGTATTTAGTCACAATGGTCATTTTTTGTAATTTCAACCCATAATGGTAAATTTGCCTTTTTCCAAACATTGCTATACAGAAGGTACTGCAGAGAATATTAAAGAGTTACACAAGATTAACTTCTGTGCCCGAAATTGGGTGCAAATGATATGCTGAATACATGTGAGAGATATTGCAAACTCAAACAGTATGTTAAAGAAAGATTCTTACTGAGAATTTGATATAGTCCGATTTTTCTTTTAAATCTCTACATCTCTCATTTTCCTCCCAGTTTGGAATATTTAATTTTATCCTGTCTGGTGGTCCGAAGATCAGATAAGCTTAATAATTCAAAAGAAACTAAAACTAGATATGAGTTTGATGGCTTCACAGAGTTATGACCAAAACATTCCAGTGTTAGTGGTTAAAGGAATAGAGTAAATTATGTTGGTATTTTTGGTGGTGTATTCTTATGTTTTTGTTGTGGTGGTGGTAAAAGTTCATTGAATTTCATTTAAAATTTTGTTTTTGTTGTAACAGCTTATTAGCAAAATTCAGAAGTACCATGAACTTATTAGTGACATAAAAGCCTACATGTTTTTGAAGAGATGATTTTGAATATAAGAAAGCAGTTATACATTTTTCAAAAATGAAAAACACAATGCATATGTCAGAAATTCATGTAATACAAAGAAATTATATTTTATATTCCTGCCCATAAGTACCCTTCTGAGATCTTTCTGCATACCCTTGTTTAATCCTAAAACTTGCCCATCGCTAACTTTTTACTGAACTTTTGTCTTTCAGGTGTTCTTGCTGGTCATGACAACCGTGTCAGCTGTTTAGGTGTAACTGATGATGGCATGGCTGTGGCAACAGGGTCTTGGGACAGTTTTCTTAGAATCTGGAATTAACAATACATGCAAATTTACCATTCTCCACTGATACCTGGAGAAATCAGTACTACAGCCTATAGCTGTGAAAAAGAATTTACCTTATATTTGCAGGTGAAGATTTTTCTATTGAGATTATTATATACAAAAAAGAAGCTTTCAGTAAACTACAAAATAAAAAAGGTGAAAACAAGGTAAAGGTGCTTGCTGAGATCAGGACCAGTGTATCAATCTGAGGAGTTGAGCTCATTTAACCTTGATGAATTCTTGCTTGTGTTGTCTAATTCTTTACTTTCTTTGTGTAGACAGAAATGTACACATTACAGCAACCTATCATGTTAGAATGTATGTTTGCATTTTTTCAGAATTACATTTTAAATTTTATATAGAAGTATCGCATTTTTGTGTTCTGTAGTGGAGGAACAGGCACAGTAATACATGGAAGTGAGACCATACATGTGTGTACTGATGTTTAAAGATCTCCTTGAACTCCGGCTTTCTTTTTGATCTGAAAGAAATCCTGGTTGCTTACTGTTTAAGAATGCTGACGACAGGGACCTACTCTATAGCTCAGTGTTATGTGGCAGCCGGGATGGAAGAAGTTAAAAAAAAAAATGCTGTCAGACATAGGTATCGCTGAGGAGATTCCGTGTGAGTATCAATAGTTTCTGCCTCATACTCTGCCATGTTATTAATTTAAATGCTCATGTTGAGTCCTTTAAAGGGGACATAATCTAAAGGCCAGGGAATTTCACTCTGAAATTTGAGACATACATAGGAAACTCGTATTATATTAACAGGTAGATAGCAGTAATCACATGAATTGTTCTTATTTTTTAAAGTTGGATATGATCAAGTGATACTGAGCATTCTAACTAGTTAGGCTTTCCTACTGATTTCATCTCCTAGAGCTAAGTTTGCAGGGTGCACTCTGATGAACATTTGGACTGTCTTTGCATCTTAAGAAATTTTCCCAGTGTTTCCATCAGTATGTATCTAGGAAGGACACATAGTGTGTGATGGCATTATGATTTTGAAAGAAGTAGAAAATCTAACAAATCTATTTGTTATATTGTAACACACAATTGCTTTATGAATTTATGTTCATATAAAACCTGAATTGATGTTAGCTCTGTGTCTTGAAAAATTTAAAAAGTAAACATTCAAGCTTTTTGATCTTCTGTACCGTTTCCTCCCACTAGGACCAAATACTGGTTTCTAAGTGATTTTGCTTCAAAGGATACCTAGATCAAAGTGATCCCCACTTTAAAGCCAAAAGAAAATTCCAAGGGCAGTTCTTAAAGGAGTCAGAGGAAAATACTAAGCAATTTCTCTGCTTGTCAGTGATATTATGTGTTTATTACTAGAATGAGCCCCCTTAAATTTAAACAAAGATACTTTTGCTCTTGGGTTTTCTCTTACAAATAATCTAAATGATTGACAATAGAAGACTGTTAAGTCTTGCTTGATAGTGAAGTCATGGAGTTTTTCTAATATAGAGGTGCATTGTGTTTTGTAACTTAGTAAACTGTGTCAGTTACTATTGAGCTAGATCTGTTAACTTTTGATCACCTGTAATCCTAAATACTCCCAAATTTTACTTGTAAATTTCCATTTTTATATTGTGGATGTGCTAATAAGTACATCAGCCATAAGTAAGTAACTGTTTTAAGATACTAAAGAGAGAATAGAATGGAAAAAGGAAGATCAGATATAGGACCAAAAAAAAACCCAGACTGCTGTAGATGGCAGGCATGAATGTATATTTATATACATATAACAGGATTTCTGCGGACTTTTGATTTTAATGTTTGTGGACTATTTAAGAGTGATATAAAGAACAGCTCTTTGAGGTAAGGCAAGATAATTTTAAAGGGACAGTCATTTGCAAAAATAGGAGTTGAGGATTACCATGTAGTGTAGCAGTTTATTCCAAAATCCTGTTGAAGCAAACACTTGTAGCCATGTGCAAAATTGCCTTATATATATGAAGAGTATCTCCACTAGTTAACAAGATAATTTAGAGGCACACAGACTGTAAGAATTATGTTGTCTTAAACATGTTAATAAAAATAATTTAATATTATTAAACTTTTTGTAGGTGGTTAAAAGGCATTTATCATAATTAAACATGTACTAGGCAACACTATCATGGCTGATTATACATATGACCAAATGGTGATACCATATTAATTAACTCACAGGTTAAAACTTTTGTTATCTAGTGATATGGGTCCCACTTGCTAAATCTGTGTACTTGCAGTCTGAGTTCATTTGATTGTCTATTTAAAACTTCCTGAATTTGGTATATTTTGTAGAAGCACAGTATAGCTTGAATCTTAGTTTTTCCAAATTAAAAAAAAAGCCAAATGTAGTTTTGAGGAATTTGCATCAATATTGCAGTTCTGGTGCGTGATTTATTTTCTTTTTACCTAAGAAACATTTAAACATAATGTGCCTCAGTTGGGTTTGTAGATTCTTGAATCACTACATAAAGAACAGGTGAGATATGACAGTATTTTAAAGGCAAATATTCTTTTCTAAAAGTGGGGTGATGGCCTTGTGTTCAGCACATCAACCCATAAACCTCCTCAAAAAAGCGCTTCATGCTGTTAGCAAGGACACTGCCTCCACTTCGATGGACCGGCCTCATTTTTGGCAGCTGTGCTACTAGAGATTTAGACTAACCATCCAAGTTTCTTCCCTAGCTCAAATTTTTATAGTTGTGAATCCATGGTTACAACAGCATATTGAGTTCCATCTTCAGAGAGGCAAAGATTTAGGCTTAATGTCTCAAGAGATACTTAAGTATCAAGAGATACTTCTTAATTCTGCAAGAGGGCTTACCTCGTAGGTAGTCTCCTTGTTTTAATTTAGACTCATCTGAACTGATTAATACTGCATGATGATAGTAAACTAGTCTCTTAGACATAACAGAGGTAGGTGCTTCTGGAATATGTTAAGTAATTTTAAAGTTAACCTATTGCAAGAGAAATAAACCTTGGCTTCTTCAGGTGACAAAATGAAATTTTTGAAGTTGCTAAAAAAATACTGTTAATGTTATATAACTAACCTTCTTCAACACTTTTGACGTTTTAGATTTAGAAATAAATTTAGATTCTGTTTTAAAAATGAAGATGTTCAGGGAAATTTATGCTTATTGGTTAGTGTCTCACAGTTTATAATAGTCAAATACTTGCGGCTTACCTCTTGATGTGTTTAAATGTAATGGAAACTGATTAAACAATCTCCCAAATGGGCCTATGATTTTAGTAATAAACAGGTTCTTTCTAAAATCTTTAGGGTGTGAGTTAGGCTTAAAAACATTTTGAAATTATGTTCAGTTTCTAATTTCCCTTTTGCCATCGTGGAAAGCAAAATTTTAAATTATTTCTTACCTCGTTAGAATTTTGAAAACACCCACCAGACTATCTTGTGAGAAATGGTAGCACAGTGGATAATATTGGTATTTTAAATTAGATTAAATACAATGTGATGCACCCTTCATATTTACTGCTTCTTCTCCCATTGTTCATTGTAAGTTGCCTTAAATTCAGTGCTATATTTAACAGTATTGGTTATAATAGGTACTCAATAAAATGGTCTGTAGTTGAATGTCTAAGCTAGCATTGTTTTAAAAAGTAATTTATTAATCAGAATGATGGTACAACTTGTGTTTAGCAAATTTGTTTGCATGTTGATAAAATTTCCTAAGTCTTTTTTCTTAAAACCAGTTATTGAGCCTATAAAATAGTTGACTAATGCAGCATATGGAAAAACTGGTTAAATGTTTCAATTGATGTTAAGTGTGCCCGACAAAATCTTACATCATACAGTATTTTTTAATTAATAGAACTTCAGTGATATACTTGGTAGATATTTCAAGCCTTTTCTGTCTCTTACACAATGGTGCTCTATCCTATTGTTTTCTCTTCTCAAAGAAGCATCTGAATACTTGTATTTGCATATTCTTATCCAAAGGCATTCATATCTAAATGGGTTTTTTTAAGTTGATTAAAATGTTTTTCTTCACCTAGCGTGGTTTCTACAACACTTGTGGCCAACTGAACCTGAATGTCAGTAGTCTGTGGGAAAGGTGAATGTATTAGATTAAAGCTCTTAGAAAAAAGCTTTAAACCAAACTATGGACTTGTATCACAACTTAACAGTATTCTTGAATCATTCTTGCAGTAATTCATTCCTTTATTTGTATAGTAGCTCTGTGAAATAATGTTGCTGTGAACTGATATTGTAATCAATAAAGTGCTTTTAACCAGATTTCATGCAGCATGTTTTAATCAGTTTTTAGCAGGATTACTTTTTTAAGTCTCAGAACTAAACTCCAAGCCCAGCAGTTCATGCTCAGCTCTGACTCCTTTATCTAAGCATTCTCGTCATGAAAAATGAATGGGCTGCCAGAAGCAAGGAAGAGATTGGAGGTCCAATGACCTATCCTATAGTACTGTGAATGCTGGCCTACTGTTAAAAGGCCACACATTTTCATGAAAAAGCAAAATTTAAGTCATTCTTCCCTTAAATCTCCCTTAGGGTAAAAATGAGCCAGTTTCCCCAAGATAGCTTATATGCTTGCCATAAAAATCATCAAATAAAAATAAAAGATTAAAACTCACTAAATGCCAGTATAAATGTTCTATTTATCAACTTTCAGGCAAACAAGTTTTATTTCCACCTTGCATATTATAAAAAGTCTAGGTTTGTAAAAAGCTGAAGGTTATACAAAGTTTATAAATAATCCTGCAAACACATAGTAGACAAGTGAATGTGCAGTAACTTTGAACATCAGCCATAAGTCACAATTCTTGATCATTCATGGGCTTGGTCATAGGTGCACTTACCCCAAGCATAAAGGTGGGCTTTATTATTTTAGTGTCCCACTTCCAACATTCACGTATTTTCAAACTTGATCAGGCAGAACTGGATTCAAGCTACTGATGGAAAATTTAGTATAAACTTACTATAGCAGAACCACTACTCCACAGTTCCCAAATTTTGGCATGCATCAGGATCACCTTGAGGGCTTGTTAAACCAGAAACTGCTGGTCCCCAAACCTAGTATTTGATTCAGCAGGTCTGGGATGAGCCCTGAGAATGTAATTCTTACAACTTCACTTGTGATACTGTTGATTGAGGGACTGAACTGTGAGAACCACTGTACTTAGCACTCATGGGGTAATACCAAACCACTATACTATTTCAGAAGTTCAAGTACTTGTGTATAAAGATTAAGGCCTTCAACTCGTAGCCTTAATTAGCAGTACACAGTCTTAAACATCAGTTTTTTCTGTTGCAGTTGTTACTTAGTCCCACTTCTTGGTGACTTGTATAATCTTTTGGTTATAAAGCCACAATATTAGCTATAAATGAATATCTGGATTTGAATATTGCATTCTAGTATCTGATTTGCATAAACAAACATTAAAGGCTTCTATGGCCTAAATAATGTTATTTTTTCCTTCCTTAAAATAACCAGAAAAGGTGTTGCACCTGTTGTGAAAAGACTGAATAGCATCCAAGAGACTTAAACATACAGAAAAAGTACTGAGTATTAAAAGAAGAAAAAAGCCTGCAACATTATCCCTCCTGTGGAAGAGCAGCATCAACTCTACCAGCCAAATGCGCTGTGTCTTCTGGGATTGTGCATTCCTAACATGCGCCTGCTGATGTTGATTCAGTGCTCCTCAAAACTTTTTGCATAGCAAAGCCTTAGACCAGTTTTTAATGTTTCCATATAAGTTTCTATTAGTTTTTTTTTTAAACACAGAAACAAACACAATGTTTTAACTCATAAACATTTTCATTAAGGTAAAAAATAAAATTTTTAACCGTGCCCTGTCAAATTCATACAATTAAATAAACATAAAAGTCACCGTGGGGGACAACCCAGCAGTATCCTTGGCAAATACCTTCCAAAGAACAGCATTTTTTACTGTAGCCACCCAAAATTCAGATCTCTCATCTCTTTGGCTATTTTTATCACTTCAAACTTAACTCTCAAAACAGAAAGTTTTCCTTACTGGAATCATAGCTGAGGCTAAATGTGTTTCTTGAGAAACATGAGCAGACTATTTAGACCCAAATACTTTCATAAAGGACTTTCTTTCTAATAACAAAACCTATACACTGCTTTACATCAGTTTCAATGGGAATAAAAGGGAGTAAAAACAGCATTAATTATTAGTGGTTTACATACCTGTCAGGATGGCAAAAGTGATTGTAACCTGCATAAATAATACACTCAAGAACATTCCACACTCCTTTGTGGTTACAGCAATACAGTTTATAAAACAAAAATCTGATTAGTCCCATTAAAGTCAGCATCAAAAATTAGTTTTGAGAAAGAAGATGAAAGGAGCATTCTCTAACTCCTGGATGCCAGGAAGCAGAGTTTTTCAGAATCAAAAACAAAGAGAGCCCTAATTAAGAGCAAGGCCCCACCCCTCAGGGGTCACAGAGTTGTTTCTTTTGCTTTAAACTAATTCATCATTTTCACATATCAGAATTTTTCTTTACCCCAAATTAAAGAGACACCATAACACTCTTCAGAAGTGCAAACACCCTAAGATAGATCAATACCAAGATCTACTCAAGGATTTGCTATTTAGGTATAGTTAGTATAATTCATACTTAAAATCACTTCATAAAAATAACCATCCAGATCTTCCAAACTCCATTTTCTCCTACGATGATCACCAAAGCAATCTCTATTGTTAAGATTCTTCACTGCTTGAATGTAGAAACCGCTTAGTAAAATTCTCCAGCTGGTTTTCAAGTTGAACAGCTTTATTTCTAATTAAAAAAAAAAAGAAACACCAATGTAATTATCATAAAGGTCAATGAGAAAAAAAATGCATCCCATCCAAATCTTGGAAAAAAAAAATCACTAGTCAGCTGTTGCTACATTTATCTGAATTCAGATCCACTCTTAAAAGCATTTACTATATATGCTACTATAACTTTGTAATAAACACAGACTCCACTGGCCAGGAAAGATATACTGAGATAAAATCTTTAACAAGAATGAAAAGCCTACGCATATGTATACCTATGGCTGATTCATGTTGAGGCTTGACAGAAACCAACAAAATTCTGTAAACCAATTATCCTTCAATTAAAAAACAAATTGAAAAATTGAAAAAAAATGAAAAGCTTAAGAGACAGTGGAGTCACACCACCTTACAAGTAAATTATATCCTAAGTCACATTAAGACAATTGTTCCTGAATTCCCTTTAAGTATAAAACATAGAATAAATGATTTTATGTATACATACAGTAGCTGGCAGATGTCAAAGGACCATAGTTGCCAAAAATATATATTTTTTATTTTTATTTTTTAATATTAAAAAAATTGTATATAAAGAAACCAAATGCCCGTAAAAAGAGGGAAAGCAGGTCTGTGTCTCCACTCTCATAATGTGCCACAGTGCACACACACACGTAAATGAGTCTCTCTCTCCTTCTTGGTCTTGTTATGTATGTTGCTAAGTGGATATTGTCAAGGCCATATAATTTAAATGTGCATGTGAACTCCACTGTATATTTCTTTAGTAAATGCTCCTGAGATATATAAATACCAATAATCTATCAGTTATTTATTTTTTTTAACTATAGCAAGATGAAAAAATAAAAACCTACCTCAGTTAAAAATTTTTTCTATTGGATACTGTTTCACCAAATTTGAAAGGCTGTATTTGGGATGATCTAACTTAGGAGCAATGGGACACACAAAATTCGCTCAGGTGGGGGGTGGTGTGTATGTGTGAGAAAGGATGCTGGGGTCTAAGTCACAGGCAGTCACGTTTTCAGAAACTCTGGAACAGAAACTCAATGAGAATGTGACTGGTGATCATACTGAAATACCATGCAGGACAGATTCTGTGTGTGTGTGTGTGTGTGTGTCTGCCTGTCTGTAAGGATATTGGGGTCTAAGTCACAAGTAGTCATGTTTTCAGAGACTCTGAAACAGAAACGCGATGAGAATGTAACTGCTGATCAGACTAAGATACCATGGACAGATCTTTGTGTTCTACAATTCAGGTCACAAGGACAGTCTCTCCAATTTGCAAATATTGCAAACTGTTTTTATACAGGCAGCTTTATGGAGCATGTGCCCTGGTAAGTAGCAGCAGAAATGAAATGATGCTTAGTGAGTCTCCCAGACTTGCAGTTGAGTGAGCTAATGCATAGCAAATTAAGAACTGTCAACAAGTATAGACTTTGTGCTAATACTTCTGGTCTTGACTCCCCAAAGCAGAATTTATTTAGGGTCCAAAGAATCCATGGCCAATCATATTAAACCATAATTCCACTTTATATTAGGATATCTTGTTTACTTCTGCTGCTTCAAATTTAAGTATACCTAAGAGTCCCCACTGAGAAGAAAAATTATGAATTTTAGATATATAGGACAGAAAACTCATAATTTTAATAACAGAACTGCTCTAAAAAAGGACAAATATAGCTTAACATAGGGCTCTAAGTCTGGATCTAAAAAATCCCTTTAAATTCATATTTTTTTGCTGTTGAAATTAATTTTCACTGAAATTATAAAACATGGAATTAAATATGGAAAATTATAATTAAGCCAATGCAGAAAGCCAAATTTTTTAACATAAATTTGCTAGCAATTTTACATAATTGTATTCTGGTAATGAGACCAGTAAATGTTCATATTATTGAGAAGAAAAAGTTCAAATACCTTAAGAGCTTTGAATTGTTTTGTATTTTCTCCAATTGATCTATTTCTTTGGATAATCTAGCAATTTCTTCTTCTAGATGTTTTTGTGTAATATCAACTTGTTGGCACAGGCGAGCAAAGGTGGTTGCCATCTCCCTTAAAATAAAAAACAATTTTATCAGCAGTCATGAATGTCTTTTTAAAATGAATAAGCTTTAATCTAAAGCTAACATTAAAAAAAGATCACAAGGTTAAAAAATCCCTAAGACATAAGATATCAAAGAACATTGCTAAGAATGGTATGAGGGAGGGTAGAGTGTATGGTACTTGTAAGCTTAATATGACTGTAGGCTTGATTTCATCTGGCCTCAAGACAAATGCTCAACAGGTAATAACTACTCTGCCATTTTGTTGTGAATGTGAATAAGCTATAAAAAGGCAAAGGTTGGGTATATTTCTTCAGAAGCATAATAAGCCTTACTCTCATCCCCTACCTATAAGAATAAATTACTGGAAACAGGAAAGGAAATTTCATGACCTTCTGTGACTTAGTCAAAAATACTTTATAGCAACATTTTACTA